CTAGAAGATACAAATTTAACTAACAAGTTAAAAGTGCATGAGTCAAAAATTGAAAAGCAATAATATTCTGAGTAGAGGTTCTAATAGTGGCACAATAGTAACTATGTGAAATCAGTTTTGAAAATTTTATTCAGTATTAAAAACAAATGGTGCGTACTCCTTGGGAAATTGCTTGCTTTGGTGGCAGAACAGATAGAAATATAAGTCACATATTTGTCATGATAATCTTATTTTTACTAAGGCACCAGTACAGTCCAGGGAATGTGGTAGAATGTTGAAGGCTGCTGTGTATTTGTTGTTACTGTTATGTGCCATCGAGTAGGACCAACTAATAGCTGAATCGTCCAGCAGATTTTCAGAGGCAGCAAAAAGGAGGAGATTGCCCATCTTTCTCCCACCAAGCAGCTGGTGGGTTTAAAGCACCTGCCCTTGGGTTGGCAGCACAACTTCTTACCTTTGAGCTCCCTCTTTTCGTTTTAGAGTTTTATAAACGGATACAAAGGAGCTCCAGTCGCATAGTCCGTAGAAACAGCACTGCTGACCCGGAGGCTGCATGTTTCTGGCAGTTCGAATCTACCAGCAGTTCTGTGGGAGGAGGATGGGCAATCGCCTCCTGTGTGATTTACAGCTTCCTGAAAACCTGCAGGAGGGTCAGCTTTGAGTCTGTTCCAGTTCAGTGGCAATGAGCAAGTGTGAGGGAATTGGACAGATATTGTCAGGGAAGAATTACCACAAGGCAAGAATGCCTCAGTAAATGGGAGAACTTTGTTGTTGGCAGGTGCCTTCGAATCATAATACAGTGCACATGGTGCCCTAATAAACTAAGTATCCGGTTTGCATCAAATATTTGGTATGCACTTATGTGCACAGAAATTCGGTCCTTGATTGGGTAGTGACTGATGAGAACTTTTCTAAGGTATTTTTCTTTTTTTTTCATTTATGCACATTGCAATTTTCCAAGACATTCAAGATAACTAAAGCTTACTTTCTTTTCTGTAGATAAAATTGTACGGAAGGCTGGTGACCTGACAAACGCTTATGTTTATGAGGTGGGCCCTGGGCCGGGAGGAATCACGAGATCTATTCTCAACGCCGATGTCGCCGAACTCCTGGTGGTCGAAAAGGACACTCGATTCCTCCCTGGGTTACAGGTGAGGCACTTAAATTATTCTTTATTTTAGGACCCAGGAACTCAATTGAAATGATTCTTAACTTCACGGTGTTCGAGGATCGTGTAGTTTTCTTGGTGGGCTGCAGTGCTAGAGAATCCCGTTTGAAAGATTCCGATTCTCAAGTTCAGCAAGTTGGGCTCCCAGGCCTGGCTTCTCTAGGTGACGCTGATAGAGGAGTCTGTTAAGCACAATGTGGATAAGTCTGTTTTGCATCACTCATTGTTTTACGGGATGATCAGTGTTATGTTAGTGACTACAAGCTATGCGTGCCATATTCCAGTCCTTCAGAAATCAGCAGTAAAAGAAATCATTTCCTGCGTAAGAAACAGTGCAGAGCTGGTTGCTAGCAAGTGGGGTTCAAGTTCAGTGAGACCGGTAGAACCCAGACCATGCCACAGTGGAACCTGTCAGAGGAGGAACAGACAGTAGGTAAAGAGAAGTTGGCATTCTGTGCAAACCTATGAGACCTGGAAAACCCAGGCAGCCCCACTGGGCTCCAGAGTGACCATATACAGGTTTCTCCCTGTATTTCAACCATTCATCTTTTCATCAACCATTCATCTTCTCAAGTCGGTTTGAGACCAGTGCGTCCCCTCCTCCAGTTCATGCTTTCTACGGCTCTCTATTTCTTTCTCCCTAACACCAGCAGTTCCCTTCCTCTGCTCTCTCTCTCCCTGATACCACTCTTCCCTCCTCCAGCTCTTGCTTTCTCCCTCCCTCTTTCTGTGTCTCTCCCTCCTTGACATCACCAATTCCCTTCCTCTGCTCTTTCACTCCCTGACACCACTCTTCCCTCCTCCAGCTCACGCTGTCTCCTTTTCTCCCTCTGGTTCTCTCTCCCTAACACTGGTAGTTCCCTTCCTCGGCTCTCTCTCTCTTCCCCTTACATCACACTTTTCTCCTCCAGCTCCTGCTTTCTCCCTCCCTCTCTCTGTGTCTCTCTTTGCCTAACATCATCAATTCCCTTTCTCCTGCTCTCTCTCTCTGTCCTGAGAGGTGGTTGACTGCAGTATCTCATGGAACTCACTATGTTTAGACCTATGTGGGTTATTAGAGTAATAGGCCTACAAACAGGCAGGAATAATCACAGGGTACAATTGAGGAGCAATGTGAAGAGGCCCCCAGGTGAGGTTTGGAAAGGGCCTAATAGGGAGGACGCATCCTTTCCCTGGGTTCTCTTCCTCAGGATACTTCATGGAGCCTCAGCGTCTGGGGTCCACACAACTCGTTGGTTACCAGGGAAGCTTAGAGACGAGCTCCTGTTCATGAATACAAACCCTCATCCGTGGCCTGTGGAGCCCAAGACTCGTTTCAGCCAAGGCCAAAGGTCAACACGTATAATAACCCTTAACCTCACTTTTAAAAAATGACCAACATTGACTTATTGATTAACAAGACTTGAGGATTTCTGCAAGTGAAAAATAGAGATAATCGCATGCTAACCTCCGTGAAGAGACACTGATTGTTAGGTCTGTTGTTGGTGCTGTCGAGTCAGAACTGTCCATCTCTTGGCCAGCAGCTTTTCAGCGCAGTAAATTGCACGGCGGGGGGACGCCCATCCTTGTCCTGCAGAACAACCTTTTTTTACGCGTTTACATTAATTCCAATTGCTTGGTTTGCAGTTTTATTTATTATTGTCGTGGAATATATTCTCAGCAGAACATTCAGCGGATAATCCTCCCTGCCTGTTGTACAATCATTCTCACCCTCCTTTTCTGGGTTGTCCATTTCCCCTTTAACGTAAACTCACTGCTCTCCAGGCTTCCTCTGTAATCTTCCTGCTTGCTGTTGTCAGTTTATTCTCACATAAATAGTTCTTGAAAGAGCATAATGCTCAAGGCAGACCCTTTTTTACCAGTAAAGCTAAAGTATTGTTTGATTTTAAGAAAACTTCTGGGAATATTTATGTTTAAGGTTTAAACAAGGGCAGTCGTGTTAGGGGTACACTCAGAGCTTCCTGCCTCTACAAAGTCTGGATTCCGTCGGGAATCAAAATCCATTTTTCCCCATCTGGTCTGGATTCCTTCATAGGGATCGCGGTCTGAACGTTCAGTAATGCCAGTCAGACTATCAGTTCCTCTGGTCTTGGGGCAAAGGAAGGATTTGTTCATAGAATTAATTAGCCATACATTTTATGTTGTGATCGTTAGTGTTGGTGTTAGACACCATCAGGTTAATTCGAACTCACAACAGCCCTGACTAGAACAAAATGTCGCCTATTACCACCATCCTCATAATCACCACACAGTCATAAACCGGTTCTTACAGCCACTTTGTTAATCCATCACATGAAAAGAGCTTCCTCTTTTTTGCTGGCCCGCCTCTCTGCCAAGCGTGATGTCGTTCTGCAGAGACCAGCCCTCCTCATACCATGTCCAGAATGTGTGAGACAGTCTCATCATGCCCACCCCGGAGGACCGTTCCAGCTGTATGTTTCTCAAGACAGATTTGTTTGTTCCTCTGGCTTTTGCTGTGTTGTTATGTACCATCGAGTCAGAACCAACTCATTGTTGATCCACCAGCAGGTTTTCATCGGCTGAAACGCACAGAGAAGGAGATTGTTCATCTTTCTCCATCGGAGCACCTGGTGGATTTGAACCGCTTATATTGGTGTTGGCAGCACAACTCCTCACCTGCTAGGCCTTCAGAGCTCCCTGTTCTTCTGAAAGTCCGTGGTATATTCCCCATTCTTTGTTGTTGTTGTTGTTGTTATGTGTCATTGAGTTGCCTGCGACCGTACGGACAGGAGCTCTGAACCCAGCACTGTCCGGAGCCAGTCTCACTAATTCCAACAAACCAGCCCCCATTGCCACAGTCACTGTGTCAATCCATTTCATCCAGGGTCTCCCTCCTGCACTGTCCATCCACCCTTCCAAGCGTAATATCCTTCTCCAAGGACTGGTCTCTCCTGGCCACATGCCCAAAGTATATAAGAGGGAGCTTCAAAATCCTAGCCTCCAAGGAGAAACTTGGTTTAACCGTAAGACAGACCTATTTGTTTTCTTGGCAGTCCATGGTATGTTCAAGACTCCTCCAACACCACAATCCAAAGGCACTGATTCTTCTTCTGTCATCTTGAGTCATTCATAATAAAGGGGTGACTGGAATGCCAAAGTTGGGAACCAGGAAGAAGGAGCAGTAGCTGCAATGAACTTGGTATCAGAAATGAGGCTGAGGATAGACTGATAGAACTCTGTGCAATCAATGATTTATTCATAGCAAATACCTTTTATAAGAAACATAAATGCAGACTATACACATGGATGATTTTACCTGATGGGCTCCACAGGAATCAGATCGATTACATCTGTGGAAGGAATCACTGGAGAAGTTCAGTATCTGCAGTGAAAACTAGGCCAGGTACTGATTGTGGAGCAGACCATCACCTACTCATATGCAAGTTCAAATTAAAACTAAAGAAGGTTAAATCGTACCTGCAGGAATCAAAATTTGATCTTGAGTCTATCCCCCCTGCATTTAAAAACCCACTCAAGAATAGATTTGAGGCCTTGAACATTAATGAATAAAGACCGAATGAGCTGTGGGAAGATAGCAAGAATATTGTTCATGAAGAATGCAAAAAGTCATCACAAAGAAGGAAGAAGAAAGACCACAATGGATGTCAGAAGAGACTCTGAATATTGCACTAGATCACCAAGAAGCCAAAGCAAAGGGAAGAAATCAAGAAGTTAAGGAGCTGAATAGAAGATTTCAAAGGGCAGCTTGGGAAGTCAAGGCAAAATATTAAAATGAAATGTGCAAGGAGCTGGAGTTGGAAAATCAAAAAGGCCGGATTTGCTCAGCATTTTTTAAGCTGAAGGCAAGAACAAATTCAAGCTGCGAGTTGCCATACTTAAGGATGCTATAGGGAGAATATTGAATGATTCAGAAAGCATTAAAGGAAGATGGAAGGCGTTTACAGAGTCATTGTGCCAAAAAGAACTGGCTGACACAGAAGAATTTCAGGGAACAACATATGATCAAGGGGCAATGGTGATGAAGGAGGAAGGGCAGGCTGCTCTGAAGGACTTGGCAAAAAAGAAAGCCCCAGGAATTGATGGAATACCAATTGATGCATTTCAACAGATGTTGCCCTGGATATGCTCACCAAGTTGTGCCAAGAAACCTGGAGGACAATTACTTGGCCAGCTGACTGGAAGAGATCCAGGATTCTTTACCAAACCCCGTAATTCCTATGTGTCATTTCCTCTTAGATCTTTTTTATTCATTGTCAGGTTCATCATAGGACTTAAAATACACCTTAAGTCCTCTAAATGACTTTGTTTTTTAACTCTTCAAAGAGGTCTTTTGCATCAGTTTTTCCTCAATATAATAACAGCATTTGAGTTTCTGGCTGTTGCTTCCATGTTGTGATTATTGTTAGTTGCCACGAGTCGAGTATGATCCATAGTGACCCTAAACAACAGATCCGAACCTTTTCCTGCCCTGTGCCATCCTCACACTTCCTCACACACTAGAGCCCGCTGTAGCAGTGTGTCAATCCACCTAGTCGACGGACTTCCTCTCCTTTGCCAACACTCTGCTGTGTCGAGCACCACATCCCATCCAAAGGACTAGCTCCTGCTAGCAACATGCCCGAACTATGTGAGGCGAAGCTTTTTCATCTTTGTCTTCAAAGAGCACTCTTACTGCACTGTCTCCAAGACATTTGTTCTTTTGGCCGTCCATGGATGTTCTGTGCTCTTCTTCAACACCACAGCTCAAAGACATCAATTCTTCTGTTATCCTTCTTCATTCTCCATCTCTCAGATTCCCAGCAAGTGATTGAAAAGACCATGGCCTGGGTCAGACTCACCTTAGTCCTCAAACTGGCATCATTACTCCTCAAAAATTTTGAGAAGTCCCTAACTGCAGACTTTACCAGTACAATATATCTTCTGATTTCCTGACTCCTGGTATCAAGAATGTTGATCCAAGATGAAGTTGTTGACAATTTCAGTCTTTTCCCCGTCTTTCAT